GCCGATTGGTCAGAAATGATTACTCGTGATTTAAGGAGCTTTTTGGCGCCGATCCCTCGCATTGCTCGACCGGCTACGTCTATCTTACTCTCGCGGATGGCCCGGTCTATTTTATCTACGAGGAACAGCAGCCGACGACGCGCCTAAGGCGCCGTTTATTTCCTCGTCCTTTTCCATTTACCTCCTAGCATCCGCATATCTCGATGCACGTTCGAGGCGGATCAGAAATTTTTCTGACGAAATATCCACAAGTACGTACCTTGCTATAGTTGCGTAAAAAATTAATGTGTGCAATAAATTAAATCTATAAGATAACAACTATATAATGTGGCAATAAATATTCTTCCTAAATTTTCGTCGAAATTAGTCTAAAAACTCCTTTGACAAGTACACGAGACTCGTGCATTACGAGTCGTGTTATTTGTTGATTAAGAGAAAATATTACTTTAAAATATAATTTTTCATACACATAAAAAGAAATAGGATCTTAAACATTGCGCAAATCATCTGACTTGACGAAAGCCTGAATTTCTGGCGAGGCGTGGTGAAATACAAGCGAACATTATCAGCATCTATACGGTCATCGTCCCGAGGCCAATCAGACGATTGATGAGTTAAGTGCGACCGGATGCCCAAGCCGAAATCGCGTCATTCATCTGGGCAAGACTGAAGCAGGTAGCAGGCTCTCGAGACAAGTGGCACCATCGACATAGTAACGGCCTGGTAACTGCCTCGTAAGCCGCCTAACGGAGCACCAGCGACGCTCCTGACGGCCGATCCTCCGCGCGCTGGTTAGACTTAGTGCAATGGCCTCTTCATCAAGCATCACACGCCTAAATCCTTGGATCACGAGTGACCGTCCTTCTCTCAAACTGGCCGAAGCCTCGTGGAAATTCACGAGGATCGTATGGCCTCGTATTCACGCGATCCTGAGCTTAACCGTTCCCGATCAAAGCGCGAACCGATCGATCTTTCGTGCCGGTGTGTACTTCCGCGAAATTGAGATAATACGGCGCGCCAATTATCCGGCCGAAACAGCATCGCTCGCCCAGGCCAATTCGTTCCGATCACCTCATTAGTCAATGATAATGCCGCCGTGTGCGTTTCAATGGACAATGTAATTTACTCTACTCTATTAGGATAGTACACGTTTTGCATTACGATTGTCATCATAATTGCAATATGAACATATTGCGAGATATTAACTGACCTATATCAGACTGACATTTTAAGCGTACGGGCGATTCGAAATGTAAGATTTAGCATTGTGCGTTGTATTTTCATGTGATTCACTCTTCGAATGTCCATACTATCGATTGGAGCGTCGAACGCTGATGGAGCTTGACTTCGATGATGGTAACACTGAAGCTGATACATCTATTGATACCGATGGTTCTTGGACCGGTCGGGATTACCGACGCGTTTCCCGGGTAATGCTGTTTCCTTGTTTCTCTTCCGCCTCGCTGAAGGGTGTATTGTGGTCGGGGCTATCCCATTATCAGGCCACTGTTTGAGCGCTGGTGGGAGAAGGATGGCCATAGGTGAATGGATCACTTGCGATTACTGCGTCGATTAATTTGCATTTCTATCTCAAGTGTTCATCACGCGCTCCTAACGATCGTCATTGCGTCAGATGTTTGTTAGATTCTGCTAGGTAGTAATTGTTCTTCCAGTTACTCATAAATTGATCAATTAAGACTTCCAATACTAACGTATATGTATATACGTCGATATTCGCACAACACACTTCTTATGATAACCGCTTCTTTTTTTTAATCTAACAAAACTTCTTTTTTTTCCTACGGCTTATTTGAAATAAACTATATATTTATCGCTACTCAAAATTCGGTAAATATCTCAAAAGATGCAGATACAATTTTCGATACAGGCACGAAAATAATCGAGAAACTATATTTTCATACGCGATTATTTTCTTTTCGTATAGAGAAATTTCGCTCGGGTAATCACGAGCGAAAAACCGTCAATCCCAGTTATTAAATTGACATTCCACGAATCGATGTCAGGAGCACTCGATACTGCCTGAGAAAGAGAGAGAGGGAGAGAGAGAGAAGGAGGGAGGGAGGGAGAGAGAGAGATAGAGAGAAAGAACAGGCCAGTTTCATGTTAGATCGAAGAATCACGAGGGGTTGTCCTGCCAGCGAGGGGTTGCGTTCCGCCATTCGACGCGTACAAACTGGCCGCTCTTTTGTCGAGGACAATGCCGGGGAGCTTACGTTCGTTCAATATTTTCCGTCAGGCTGCACGCGCTCATCTCGTTATAAAGTCTGTTTGATCGGCAAACATCGCAGACCTCGATGCATGTGGCCTGAATAGTGCAATCGGCGCGCATACACATACACGTATACACGGGCAATTGCCGTGCTTACGTGAGAAATATTCATCTCTTAAAAATATTTTCATTTGATACTTTTCAACCGGATGTAACGCACACGCCTCGTTTAATTAAATTAAAAACTCCCTACCTTACAGTTTTTACGCGTAATTTTTGTTTTTATTAAGTTTGTTCACCTGCGTTTTCAAAAATCTTATTAACTAATTGACAATCCGTAATGTTACTTGTGACAAAAAAAAAGAAGTAGATATGAAAACGGGGAAAAAATTGGAAACAGTTATTTATGTAATTTAAATGAATAGTTGATTTAAACTGACGTATAGAGCGAGCACAGGTATCGCCGAGAAAAGAAAAGAAGTAATTGCGACATCGAAATTCATTGCTGGGAAGGGACAAAAGCATCGTAATCTACATGATGTAACTTTTGGGTATTATCAAGATCGTAAGTAATCTTGACACAGTCTGCCTGCATCTGTGCCCAATATTCCGGCGCGTATCTTGGAGTCATCCTCCTACCACTACCCTCGTACAACGTCTGCCGTACAACGACAACTCACCTACCGCCGAGAGAACCGATGACAAACGTTACCATCTAAACAAAGGACCTCGTGGCATACGCGCACCAGACACGCAATTTCCGCGCGGCATGTAAATCGTGCGAAATGAATTTCTGCCAATCACGCACGTGCGCCAGCCGCGCACGATCACGGAAGATGATCCTACACTGCGAAGCGTATTTCCGAAAAAAAAGCATGAGC